TAAATGGAATTTGCGGACCATGTGGTTGACTTTCTTTCACTCCGGGCGATGGATACAGAGTTTGGCGAGGACGCGACTGAGACAACTGTTTCTCGATGGCAGCCTGTACGAAAGCCTGCATTCTCACAGATGCATTGCCTTCACACTGCTCAAAGAGGACGCACAGTTCAGTGATGTTGGTCTGGGAGGCGTCGTCAATCATCGCGTCCACTTGTTTTGAAACGGCTGCCTCACACTAAAAATTTGGCAAATAGGGGTCGCGACATATTACTTTGAACACCCTTCAGGCGATGGCATTAATATTAATCGGTTGTTCCAGCTATTCTCAGTGGCAAGGAAATAATCGCAAGGTATAGTGTAGAATAAGTACCCGCCCCAAAACCGTACTGTCAAAGTTAATAGACGTTTAGAGGGAACGTGTACAGTTTACCAAAGACCAGGTTTATATATACGTCCCAAGCTTTAATCGGCCTATTATCAATTTTACGAGGCATTTAACGTGACTAGTTCGGACTGTTGCAATAATGCCCAAGTAACGATGCTTCAGAGTTCGTACGTGTTGTCGATACACTGTACACCAATACTAGGACACAGAAAAGGCCTGTGTAAAAAACTACCAGCAGCCAGGAAACTGGGACTCAGACATAAATTTCCAATCTTCGGTCGCTGTCAATCAACATGCTACGAAATAACAAAGAACCAATCTTCAGAGGTTGTTAGGTCCTCAAAAGCAGCAAAGCAGTTTTAACGCAACAGCACTTCTGTCAATAAAGTTGGGAATCCCACCTGTGCCAAACTAAACAATGGGTTCACAGGACCTATATAAATGGGAAAGCATATAGCAGTACTTAGTCCGTGCCGGTACATGCTAGATCCAACTTTTCGACGTACTTAGAAAAGGACCAGACGATACAAATGTGACCCGGGTATTTGGAGCGAAATACCTGACAAGGATGACTGTCAAATACGTGGTGGCTGCAAACAAATTCACGTATCCAGCCAAATCGGTCTGAGAAAGCTACATCACAAATAGCACTGAGCTTTAATTTAATCTGGTGGGTGAACACTTGGTCAGCATGATGGTACTAGTAAGATTTGGCCGTTATACATCATGTTTCTTAATCTGCTAGATGGGAGTGTGGACTATACTTAAAAATGGACGTATATTCAATGACCAAAGGCATGTCACGCGAGAGCTGGAGCCAGCGCGCCTGGTGTACGCGTAAGGCGGGGTGAAACTTTTGGTAAGTTATTGCGAACAATCTTATCTGCAGTCGACCCTACTCTTGAAAATAGTTAATGCGTAAAACACAATTAGGAAGCTACATAATTTACCCTCACCAAAAATACCGACTGAGATAAAAGTAAAATAGCAAAGCGCTCTAAAAGTCATGGCTTGGGAGGTTGCTAACCGGAGGGACAACTTGGCCAATGAGACAAAGGACCGGACTGTGGCGTGGTTTTTACTATTGCGATTGCCGGAACACCTCTAAATGATACTAATACCAAGTGCATTAAGTTTGGTTTATCTGGCATGAGGAATCAGCGTGCGAGGCACAAGACGGAAAAGTGAGCAGTCGGTCGCTACACCGTCACATGCTAAGTTGTTCTTGGAAGGTGTTGGGGATAATGGGGCTGACGGTGAGGATTTTGTTCTGGCAACAATCAATGTCACACACAAGCAACAACTGTTCCCTCGTAGTACTGCCAACGTCGAGCACGGGGAAAATACTAAAGAACCATTAATAATTGACAGAACTCTAATGCAGCCTAAAGGGTTGGGTATAAAGGTACAAGCCGTCTTCTCTGACTTGGTATGCGGATGATAAAGTGCCCGTGAAACCGTGGAATTGTCTAATGTTAAGGTCATGAAGGCTGAATGACAAACCTTAAAAACTTACCATCGGTTCGAAGATTCCAAAAGAAGAGCATAACTTTTCCTTGACGAGTTTCTTTAACATTTCATCGAAATTGGGGTCTGTTAACCGGTCTCGGATCCGTGAAAATACGTTGACGCAGTCTGTGCAAGCGGGTGTAGCTTGTAGCTAGCCATGATTCGATTAACGGTAGGAATAAACAGGTAAGGTTTTGCATAACCGAAAAATTTAAAATCGAACAGTGTTAAATTATAGATATTTTGTGTGAAGACTCGTCGACATGCTAGTCCCGTGAAGTGATGGCTGGAAAAAATTAATTACTGAAATTAACAAGATGAAACAAAAAGTTAATAAAGCAACGCAGTTACACTTACTGAGCTGTCGGTCCTTGGGACCTTTGTGAGACGAGAGTGAAACTTCTCAAAACCTCGTCCAGCAGGACGACGAATCCAAGAAAATACTTGGGATTCAGAACAGTTTTCTGTCTGTTGTTTTTCGGCGAATTTCGTCTTAAAGTCGGCATGTAAGACAAAAGGGTGGTAGAAAATACCTCTTGTTGACAAAGCCCAAACAACGCACACACAACAGTTGGATCCTAGAGAGCGTAAAAAGCAGCAATGCAAACAAACCAGTTCAGCAGAAACAAGGTCAACGATCGTTCCAGTATATGCGTTAACAGCATTTTTGCATAAATCAACTACTTTGAGAGGAAGTCGGGTACACAAAGCAGCCTTTAGGTAAGTCGCGACAGCCTCTTTTGTATTGTTACTTTGAATAAGCGCTCGAACATCCACAACGATCTTTTCGCAATCACTGCAGGTGTCTGAAAGCTTGAATCTCAAGTTCTATTCATAGTCTCCATCGGCGAATCAACTTACCGGGAGAGTAAAAAGTGACTGACTGCACCGTCCGAAAATGGCACAGGTTAGTTTTGGATTCAGCTAGAAGTAGCGAAATAAATTCAGTAACGTTTTTAAAGTACCATTTTCGAGTTTAGCGACTCTACATACTCGCTGGAGACGTACCGCTGAAAAATAAGTAGAGTTGAGGGAAAACAATACCGATGGTGAAGAAATCTCCTTTGCAAACTCCACAAATTTCCCCTCACGTACAAACGACTCGCATTTTTTGCATTTGTTGTCCGAAGATGGTAGACCGAAGTCATGGGCATGCAACCACAAGTCCTCACACTGTTTAAGTTTACCACACTGTGCAGCACTGAAAAAGCTTCGACACACAACTGCATCAGGCTGGTTACAGTCAGCCGAATAGGCTATGCTTGAGAAGCCGGCGCACAAAACGAGCACGCAGAAGAGGATTGACCGCATTATCTCCGGCACGCAAACAAGGGAATTGCGCATCGACCAGAGCCGTAGGAGTCGGCTGCAGGTATACGCCAGCAGCCAGGAAACCAAAACGGCCGGTCACGTTTGAGTCGAAAAACAAGCAAAAATTCGAAGTTAAATAAGAATGAATGGATGCATTGAATATATAATCTAGCGTTAAAACCGGAAAAACTTGAATTCCGGGCTCTGATTTCATCAGCTTTTGACCTCCGCTGGGGTTATAAAAGAGATTCTGTCACAACATCTCTGGAAACACTGGCTTTAAATTTCCTCAATGTTTTTTAAACTGCATATTTACTGTAGGAAATCCACCGTCTGTGCTGAAGTGCGAGGGCCTTGAAAAAATTCATTTATGAATACAGCGACCCTAAATATTATTTTTAGGACATGTCCTCGCCCTAAGAACATGGTAAATTTTGGATGGATGGGGCTATGGCCCAATCCGAAGGACCATTCGTCTTTTACTTGTAACAAATTGACTGCTTATACTGCAAGTTTTTTGAGATACAAATATTGTGGGTACATTCCGTTCATAGATCACCTTATACGACCGGTCGTACTAGTCAACCACCTCCCGCTATTTGTTTTCGGATGACTGAAGTGAATTGGGCTAAATGCTGATATAATAATGAGGAGAGTTTTACTTTTGAGTGCCCAAAGAGTGCTATCCTTTCTTCGCGAACCAGAGTTGATAGGCACGAATGGCCAAATGCTTATGATTCTGCAGTCTGTCATCCGGACAGTATATTCTTCGACTGCGCCAAGCAAATCTTAGTCCTTATCCTAAGAAAATACTAGAGCCTGTAACATTCCGCTTTCCCCGTGACCAGTGCTTCCTGTTCTGGTTAGCGACCATTTTTCGGACTGTATTTTTTTGTCTCCCGACCAACCCAAATAATATACTACACCCCTGTGATTCTCTACCATACCAGTTTTGTCCACTGTTTACTTAATCCACGCGGTTTATTCACCTTGATAATGCCTGTCACGCTTATTGGAGGTAAATAGAATCGGGTCACTTCTCTTATCATAAAAAGAGAGATACGGTGTCCGTTATATTATTTGACGGAGCCAAATGCGTTATTGTTTTAAACATTTTCAGTGAAGCTCCATACAACCAGAAAAATTTAGTCGACCTTCATGGGTATAGAGAAGACGACGGGTTTAAGTCGGAGAATACGCAGAAGGTGCTATTGTACCGACTCAACCAATTACCTCTA